CGACTGCTAAAGAAGCTTGTATCCTGGCGAAATCTGCGATAACAGATAGGGACTGCTCGAGGTCGAGAGAGTGCTCTCCCGAGTGCTACCGCAAAGGCACCGTCGAAGCGAGTCCTGAAAGTGTTCCATCTTGCAGTGACGATCGTGGTCGAGAGACTTGACAGACATACGCTATTGTGTGGATGTGAGCAATAAAATTGTCCAGAAGGATACCTCAAAACCTAAAGTCGGCCCCGACTCGACTTCTGGCACAACACTTCAGATGGCCGAACGAGGGTTCTTCGTTAGCTTCTACTGATTCTTCAAAAGCCACTTCAGTGCCACCAGCACCAATCCAGTTCGATAGCTCAAGTCAAGCTGCTGCTCCTCATCGTATTACAAGGAGTGCTGTTCGGCAGGCCAGTAATACAAAAGGTGCAGTTGATCATCAAACTCCTGCTACATCTGGTACTAAGGAAGGCAGTTTTCGTCAACAGAAGTATGCCGCCCAAAGTAACAATTGTATAGCGGCAAAACCAAGTGCGTTACATGAAGTTACCCCTACTTCATCGAAGACACCACGAAGGGTTGCAACCCAAAAGAAAAGCAGTACTGGAAAGCGGAAAAAGACGGGCCGCGGGCCGCCGACGTCAACGCCGCGGACTCCTACGAATCTAGTGTATAGCACTGATGGAGAAAATGTTGCTCGATCTGAAACGAATCCAGCTAAACAAGTGTCGCCGTCTTTGAAAACAAGTAGGGTTGCAGTCACTCATGCAACCCGTGAGGCGTCCGCTCAGAAGAGTGTGAAGAAGGCGATGATGGCAAAATCAAGTATTTTGCATAATGTTACTCCTCCCTCATCGAAAACATCTCGCAGAATATCTCACAAGGAGAGCACCACTGGAAAGCGCAAAAGGGCAGCGTCAACGCCGGTCACTCCTGAAAATTTAGCCTCTAGCACACCCAGCACTGATGGAAGAAGAGCTCGTCGATCTGAAACGGAAAATGCTGGAAAGAAGTTTTCATCACAGAAAACAAGTAATGCTGGAGTCACTCGCGAGGCGCCAGCTCAAAAGACTGTACAGAATGTTATGATGGCAAAACCGAGTACTTCACATAAATTTACTCCTGTCTCATCGAGAACGCCTCGTAGTGGTGCATCATCAAAAGCAGCGGTATTGGAAACCGGAAAAGGGCCGCTCCTGAAAATCTAGCGTGTAGCACACCTAGAACTGATGGAGAAAGAGTTCGGCGATCTGAGACGGATATTGTAAGAAAAAAGTCTTCATCTAAAACTGGAGCTACACATGCAACATGTGAGGCACCCGCTCAGAAGACTGGAAAGAAAGCTCAGCGACCTCGAGAAGGACCAAGAAAGAATAGTGGAAGTCACTCTGTCTCTCCATCATTGAATAATTCATTATCACCACAAATGGTGACGCCGGTTGTCAACCATCGCCCTACCTCGGTTTCGCCTGAGATCACAATTGGGAGAAGTTCTCTTCGATCCCGAATTCGAGCTGTTTCGAAAGCTCCACTATCGTCAGCCAAGGCGTCAAGTGCGAAATCCAGTCGGGTTGCTAGTACATGTGAGGCAGACAGAACGAAAACGACTCGGTCTGTGAAGGGCATCGAGAGGAAGGTGTCATCAAGGTCAGCGCCTACTCCTGTTGCTCGTGCTGTTGCTGGATCTTCCAAGGGCAGTCGTCGTCTAAGAACTAAATCTTCGAAGAATACCCCGTCAAAAATATCGACACAGCTGGTCGTGCTCGCTCGCAAAGACGGTTCATCTCCTTCACCGACGACATCGACTGGGATCCAAGACAGAAGCTATCTAAGTACAATGGCAACCGCATCGTCGACGACAAGAAGAGCAAGGTGAGCCTTTCTGGTTTGAAATTTGAATATGTTAGGCTGGTATGTAATCGTTGCGGCTTCTTTTTACAATTTTCATTCCACAAGTAAGAGTGTACGTTGATAAAACTCTTAATTGTTCTCTTGTTCTGGGATACTAAGCGCATTTGGTCTCGAACGGCGCGAATAGTTCCTGCGAAAAATCTGCGTTTTTCGATTGCAGATTATGACTATTTTCACTGATTATTCATTTCTACTGTCGTGTTTACTAGTTCAAGCATAATTTCATCTTATGTTTTCAGCAGCTTTACCAATATACATAGTACTCCACCTTAAGCAATATATTGCCTAGCTCGCTGCGGACGAATGGGCGGTCAGGCCGGATGAGATTGGCGCGGTGTCAAACCTGTTTCCCACAAGTTGTTGAAGCGAGCAAGTGACAAGACTGTATCACATCGTTCGTGTCACTCGTTTTCTACCAGTTGTTATCGCTTACCCGCTTCAACAACTAAACAGAGAACAGGTTTGGCACCGTGGCACAACTCTACTGCCAGGACTGCCCTTCTCGCAGCGAACTAGAGTTTAATTCAAGTCGTCAATTAATCTGATGAAGTGCGTGTAATAAATCGAATACAAGTGTTTGAAAACCAATCATGAAAGGGTAGAAGCGCCCTAAAAAGCAACAGCTACTGCTGTGCTTGGACACTTCTCGTGTGAATGTGTGACCTTGCTGAAATAAATGCGCCTTGTATCCCAGGGAATGAGGTTATTATTCCTGAGCCTAATCACCATACCTTTCGCTTGAGGAGAAAAACATTCGGTAAGCGACCGCAAACATTATAAACCAGCGAGTACTAATGGCAAGTCGTGTTCTTTCAAACGCTTTTTTCCTTAGGTCGAATGAAAGCGATATCTCTGACGAAAAATCGTTCTCTGCCGAGGCACCAAGCGGTCTGTGGGATGAGGTGAATTTTCTTTTCCCAGGGCATGCGCCTAACATTTCTCCTCCAAATTCAACACAATTCTATTCAGAGTGTCCAGACGGTTTTCGACTCATATGAAGAAAGTTTTCCTGTGAGCAGCAAGAAAATGACGATACTTGGATTTGATGCCCAGGAGTTCAGGTTGGAATGAGCTTATGTACAGCCTAGCTTTTTTCAGTGCTGCTGTGTTATTCTCCTGAGCGGACTTTTGTCCATTGCAGAAAGCATTGTGGTGACTCTTCCCAAACGACGCTATCCAGTTTCGTTAGTTGCGCTCGGGAATATCGAGAAATTTCCGGCGAGAGGTATGTCTGCCATTTCTCCATGCATTTTTTGTTTTTCTATACACTCAATACACTTGACAGTCCAGTATCAGTGACGTTCACGCTGATCGCTCAAAGGACACAGAACGTGGTCGAACGCTCAAAGACAGTCATCGCGCACAACCACTTCGTAGGCTTCCTTGTTCAAAAACTCGGATCCGCAGTCGCTAAGATTGTTACTCCCTCGCCCTAGATAACGAAGGCGCCGTGGCTCTCGTAAGTGGCGGTTCTGACGTGGTTTCCCTAGTTGAAACGTCCACCGAAACATAGAGCACCCTCTGCTAAGGGTGCTGTACTCGCACTCGTTTTTTTTCACTCTATGAAGGTAAAAGCATTGGAGGACGCCAAGGAACGATTACTGAGCCAGATGCGGCAGGAATTCGCCTTTCAGGCATAAAACGAACACGCCCGGAGATGGAATACCTAAGGTATTATCCATGATTTTTCGTTTTTTCTTTCCTGGAAGGTCACCGAGGCTATAGGTTTGTAGCTGAACGCCACTATCCACAATACTTAATCGCGGGGTTCGACTCTAATTGTGTATACGACACTCACAGAGACGCCTTGCCGGCCTTGCTGCGAGCTGCAGCTGTGGAACTGTTTTTCTTTCATTCTTTTTTTTATGCATAAGATATGCAACCATATTCGCCTTGTTGTTGGAGCAGCTGAATTAGACGTCTCCCCATTTTAGCTCGTATCTTGTACTTTCTATTTAATTCTTTTATATCCTTTTAAGCTATTTGGACAATGGTTTGAAAGAAGATCGACGGGCAATGGCTTCTGCGAAATCGCGAAATCGTGCTCTCAAGAATGGCTACTTCGCATGAAAGCAGTGTCTCTAGGGAGTGTGCTGTTTAATTTTTGTTGTGTATTTTTCTTCACTGCCTCAGCAACTACTTATTCTGGAGATTACTATGAAGCTTGTTTATGATCTCTAAACCAGTAATACTGTACTTTTTCTGGACTCATCTCTGTTGCATGCAAGGCGTTTTCATAGTCATGACATTTTTACTTGGAGGGAAGTATTGATCTCTTCTAGTCTTGTACAATGGGGATTGATTGGGCTTATGTTCTTCTTTCATGTACATCTTTTCTGTGCTATTATCGTTTTATTCCATTTCGAAAATGAAGCATTCAGTATTCGTGAGTGCGGGCTTGCAGTGGTACGAAGTATATCCTAACCTTTTTATTGTGAGTGCTATAGTTTCATTCTTCACTCATTATTCTCCAACATTCGAACGTCAAGTGGATACTTAAGTAGGCGCACTTTGCCGACCTGGGGGGGGGTGGCATTTTGCACTTTCGTTGCTTCACTAGTTCTGGTTTACAGGTGAAACCTGTGAACTCTTGTGAAGCTGGAGCAAGCTCGTCAAGCCATCATGGTAAAACCTGTCAACTCGAGAAGAGGCTGTCTAGATGGGTCGACACGTCGATGGGAAGTCGTTAAAGTGCAAAATGCCCCCCCCCCATCCCGTCGCCAAACAGCGCCCTTAAGTAAGTGATTTTAATTTCCAGCAATGGTGGATGACAGCTGGCTGCTTAATTATACGTTGGAGGACGTGGTTGTGGATGAGGTTCGAGGAATTCTCTTCATTCTGAACAGACGTTGAAGTAACACGAACCAAGAGTTTGGATATACTTTTTACTGTGTAGTTGGATTGCACAGGGATGCAGGGTTAATAGTCACGCTGTGCGAATTGAGTGCTTCATAGCTGTCAAATCCACAACATGGGGGTCGTATTTGGTCATGGGTGAGAGGTTATTTTCAGTCCTAACAATTTCTCCGATGATTTTACTCATTTCAGGTGCTATGTAATTACTTCAGTGGTTAGTAGTTGAGGGGCTTTTCCCCTCCCCTCTCCCGTTCGATGAATTTTAGGCGAGGCATGGGGCCGTACCACCCATGACTTCAGCAAGTTGTACACTGTTTTCCGACGTGTCGATACAAAAACCCTATGGCGACGCGCAATCAAAGGAAGAGAACAGCAGAAGTGAGAGAGAGCAGACAAGCAGCCCGTTTGGCTATAGTTGGGCGTGTGGGTGACCGTGTCGCGGCGGCTCTCTATATCACTGAGCCTCAACTGCGTTTCTGTGCAATCCTGAGTGAAGGAAGTGGCATGCAATGCAGCTATGGACCCATTAACCTCGCTAATGTGAAGGAGTAAGAACCACAGAAGTGAATGTAGAGTTTGTCTTTAGAGATACGCTGTGCACTCACCTACGAGGACCCCGGTCCCGCTGTTGCAAGGTAAACAGATCTGCAGCCGATGCTGTGGAAATGTGCCCTTTTTATAACATAGTTGCGAATTAGACTTGAGGGTAATGGAGCTGGATGCCATATTTATTTGGCTGTAATTGAGGCAAAGCACGCAGCACGTAATACGCCAGTTGCATGCCTAGCGAATCCAGTCGTGCTTCTGTTTTGCATCTCTCTTGTTTGGTAAAGCGCGTTATGTAGAATTTCTGCTAAATGCAACCCCTCGCCCAAGAAGGGAGTCTCGGTGCGACCCTCTCCCGAAAAAATGAGATTATATGGGAACGGATGCTTGGATTTTGAGCGTTCGCGCGCATTAAGGAGTCGTGCTGGAGCACGCTTTCTGCCGTTGTCCTGGCACACTGTTTCAGGGCAT